CCCTGGGAGAGCCCCCAGCCCTGCGGGAGGGGGGACCCGTGGGCGAGGGGGCTGCGCGAGGGAGCTCCTCATGCCAGGGTGTCCCCACGGGAGAAGGTCCACGTGTGAGGCTCCTCCTCGTGCAAGGGTGTCCCCATGTAAGGTTGTCCCCATCCAAGGGTCCTCCTTGTGCAAGGGTGTCCCCATGTGAGAAGGTCCATGTGTGAGGGTCCTCCTCGGGCAAGGGTGTCCCGTCCCCAGGCAAGGGTCCTCCTCGTGCAAGGGTGACCCCATGTGAGGGTCCTCCCCGTGCAAGAAGGTCCCCAGGCAAGGGTCCTCCTCGTGCAAGGGTGTCCCCATGTAAGGTTGTCCCCATCCAAGGGTCCTCCTCGTGCAAGGGTGACCCCATGTGAGGGTCCTCCCCGTGCAAGAAGGTCCCCAGGCAAGGGTCCTCCTCGTGCAAGGGTGTCCCTGTGCAAGGGTCTCCTTGTGCAAAGGTGTCCCCATGTGAGAAGGTCCACGTGTGAGGGTCTCCTCGTGCAAGGGTCTCCTCATGTGAGGATGTCCCTGTGTAAGAAGGTCCCCGTGTTAGGGTTCTCCTCGTACACCAGCGACCTCGTGCAAGGGTCTGCCCGTGCAAGGGTGTCCCCATGCAAAGGTGTCCTCGTGTGAGGGTGTCCCCATGCAAGAAGGTCCCCATGTGAGGGTTCTCCTCGTGCAAGGGTGTCGCCGTGCAAGGTTGCCCCCATCCAAGGGTCCTCCTTGTGCAAGGGTGGCCCCGTGTGAGAAGGTCCACGTGTGAGGGTCCTCCTTGTGCAAGGGTCCTCCTCGTGCAAAGGTGTCCCCATGTGAGTGTCGTCCCCGTGCAAGAAGGTCCCCAGGCGAGGGTCCTCCTCGTGTGAGGGTCTCCCCATGCAAGGGTGTCCCCATGCAAAGGTGTCCCCATGTGAGAGTGTCCCCATGTGAGGGTCGTCCTCGTGCAAGAGTGTCCCCGTGCAAGGTTGTCCCCATCCAAGGTTCCTCCTCGTGCAAGGGTGTCCCTGTGCAAGGGTCTCCTCTTGCAAAGGTGTCCCCATGTGAGAAGGTCGACGTGTGAGGGTCCTCCTCGTGCAAGGGTCTCCTCGTGCAAGGATGTCCCCAAGTGAGGGTGTCCCCACACAAGAAGGTCCCCAAATGAGGGTCCTCCTCGTGCAACAGCATCCTCGTGCAAGGGTCTCCTCGTGTGAGGGTGTCCCCGTGCGAGAAGGTCCACGTGTGAGGGTCCTCCTCGTGCAAGAAGGTCCCCAGGCAAGGGTCTCCTCGTGCGAGGGTGTCCCCATGCAAGGTTGTCCCCATGTGAGAGTGTCCCCACACAAGAAGGTCCCCAGGGTTCTTGTCGTGCAAGGGTGTCCCCGTGCAAGAAGGTCCCTGTGTGAGGGTCCTCCTCGTGCAATGGTCCTCCTTGTGCAAGGGTCTCCTCATGCAAGGGTGTCCCCATGTGAAGGTCCTCCTTGTGCAACAGCATCCTCGTGCAAGGGTGTCCCCGTGCAAGGGTGTCCCCATGCAAAGGTGTCCCCGTGCAAGAAGGTCCCTATGTGAGGGTCCTCCTCGTGCAAGGGTGTCCCTGTGTGAGCGTCCTCCTCATGCGAGGGTCTCCTCGTGCAAAGGTGTCCCCAAGTGAGGGTGTCCCCATATGAGAAGGTCCCCAGGTGAGGGTCCTCCTCATGCAAGGGTGTCCCCGTGTGAGGGTGTCCCCATGCAAGGGTCTCCTTGCGCAAGGGTCTTCTCATGGAAGGGTGTCCCCATGCAAGATGGTCCCTATGTGAGGACCCTCATGCGAGGGTGTCCCCATGTGAAGATGTCCCTGTGTGAGGGTGTCCCAGCACAAGGGTGTCCCCGTGCGAGGGTCCCCCCATGTGACCCCCCGTGTGCCCGCAGGTGACTACGAGGTCTCCATCAAGTTCAACGAGGAGCACATCCCCGACAGCCCCTTCGTGGTCCCCGTCGCCTCCCACTCCGATGACGCCCGCCGCCTCACCGTCACCAGCCTCCAGGTGCCACCCCCGGGTCACCCCGGGCCCCCCGCGT